GCTGTTCTGGTTAATTATTCTCACGGTCAAGAAATTTCTCCTTAGTTCTAGGTTGGTTATCTCCTTCATTAGTTTCCATCCACTGCTACTTGTCCTGCCTTCTGGTGCTTTGAAAAATAGATTGACGCTCTCTTCTTTGTAGCAGCCCCTCAAATATTGGAACACTGCTATCATGTCACCCCTAGTCCTTCTTTTCACTAGACAAGACATATCCAAATCCTGCAACCATTCTTCATGTTTTAGCCTCCAGACCCCTAATAATCCTTGTTGTTCTTCTCTGCATTCTTCCCAGAGTCTCAACATCTTTTTAATATTGTAGTTGACCAAAACTGGATACAACAGTCCAAGTGTGGTCTTAAAGAATTGACTAAGTAGAACATACTTCACTCTGCATTCACTCTGTATATATGATTAAACCAGCTTAAAATATTACTGTTCTACTGATTAGTCATCTCCACATCATTTCATTCCTGACCCCATCCCTTGTTTATTCTGCATAATGTTTAAATAACTATTCTTACTGTACTAACTTGCTTTTAGGTTTTTCCTCAGTCTTAATTTCCATATTGTCCAAAATATGTTCTTATAGACAAACAGTTAAACAACTTCTTTCAACACTCATTCCTCTCAACAAACACAGTACGACACTTTTTCATCAGTATTTGCACATACTAACATTTCTCTATTTTTCTCATTGTAAGTAAGCATTCCATTTATATAAATTCAACTACAATAGTGAGCAAAATATTGTGAGTCCTCTAAAAGTATTTGTAATCCTATGATTTTGTGACTTAAATTGTGATCAGAACTTTATCTAACTCCTAATAAGAAAGTGATTTTGATAGAACAATGCCCCAAAATAAAGTACTCTGTCATGTTTTTGCTGAATACAGTACACCAATCTTCATGGTCTTTATTGGAAAAAGCATGTGAATTTTAACACTTAGTAACTTTCGGTAGAAATATAACTGATTTTTCTTTAGAAAGTAAACTCTTTTTTGGCCTTTAAATGTAATAGCTGGTAGTACCTCGTTAGCAATGACATCAACTAAACATTTCCTGCACATGTTGATCCTTCCTGTTTTATCAGCTTAAATTATTATAGATCATTCCTGCTTTAACAGTGATATTTATGGGTTGTCTTGCATGACCTGTTCATTTCGTGTCCTGCTGCAACATTTCAATTGAGTTAAGTTCAGAGTTTTGACTTAGCAATTCCAAATTGCAAAATTTCTTCTGCTTCAGCCATTCTGTTGTAGCTTTATTTGTGTGTTTAGGGTTATTGTTGTGCTGTATGACCCATATTTGTTTAAGCTTCAGTTCACGGATGGATACCCTGACAATCTGCAGTAGAATTTTCTAGTACAACCCAGAATCCATTGTTCAGTAATTGCAACTATGTGAGTTGTGAGACTCAATGTGAGTTGTGAGACTGCAAACCAACTCTGAAGTATGTGCCATGTTTCAAAATCATGATTCAGTTTTTCTGTTGAAATGAAACGTTTCTTTTCTCACTAATAGGGAAATTATTCAAAGTTCTTTTTTTGTTATAGCTATCTACCGAACATTGTTCCAACAGTCATCACTCCGTGCCTTATTGCCATTAACTCTTTCTTGAGGCCACAGAGAGCTTTTTTGATCAAAGTGTGATTCATTTCCGCAGCTCTGTTACATGGTAAGTGAACTCCAGTGGTGGTAATCAATGTGTTTTTTTCACATGAAAGTTCCCATCAAACTCACACATAATTGACTTTTCAAGACTTGAAACATCTGACATCTGATTATCCTAGGGTTAAATTTAACAGTGTATGGTCACAGACCCAGGGAGTCACATAGTTTGTTTTTTTTAAAAAGGTAATGATTATTGACTCAATGTGTTTGATAAAGACATGACACAATGTACTGTTTTATGCTTTGTTTGTTTAACCAGAGTATATTAACAGAATTTAGATGATGCTCTGAGCACAATGTACTCCTCACAGTACTGCAGGATTACAAAGAGTTCTAAATAGTTCACAAACTGTATTTGCTCTAATTTTTGTCATTTATTTATAATTTTCAAGCATGCACACAATTTTACTTCTTAGACACCATTATTTCGGTCTCATACAATTTTCAAATCTGCATTAAACAGTCTATTTAACATTCACTGAAAGTCATTCCTATTCTCAGCCAAAAACATGGCATCATCCACATACAAGCAGCACTTAACATTTACTGCTGTAGCCAAAACACTTCTATTATCATAAATGTTTCTTATATCTCCACCAATACATTAAATAATGAATAGGATTTCACACTTTCTAATCTTACCTTAAAATTTTAATTTTACATTTACATTCTAATCTTATCTTTAAAAATTCCTGACAGTGAGAACAATTACCCAGTGGAATCGTTTGCCTTTAGAAGTTGTAGGTCCTCAATCACTATAGGCTTTTAAGAAGAGAATAAACAGCCCCTTGTCTCAAATCGTATAGTGTCTCCTGCTCGAGCAGGGGATTGGATTAGAAAACCTACAAGTTTCCTTCCAATTCTGTTACTTTGTTCTTTGCTCAATGCTGAACTATTCCTGAAGCATTCTCTTTATTCTCATGCCTGCTTTGCTTCCATTCTACACTACACATTCAGAAAACAACCTTTAATTCCTCATTTCCTCAAATCAATTTGAAATTTAAAACCTATCCACTTTATTCTACATTTTCTCTGCATCAAGTCATATAAAAAACCTGCTCATTACAGATTTCTGTATTATCTGAAGTGCAAAAATCTGGGCTGCACAATACCTGGCATAAAGCTGAAATTTCATTTCCAAAATTTTGCTGTCATCTCTCATACCCTTTTACCAGAGTTCTGCAAGCCCCTTTCCAGACACATATAAGAAACTAATGTTTCTGTTGAATAGGGGAAAAGTAAAAATATTTCAATTATTAAGAATTAATAAAAATCTTTGCACACAATAACTACCGTATATAGTTACTCCATAAAAATACCATATCAAAGTTTTAACATTTCTGCAACTGTATCAATACATTTGTATTATGCTCTCTTTTCTTTTATCAAAACTATGTACTAATATTCTCATTTTGATCATCTAAAAAAGCTCAGTAGAAAGTCAAAAGCCTCCAATATGCATATGGAGAGTAAATGTGGTATTATTTTGGCTAGCATAGCAGCTTCCTAAACTCTTATGTGACATTACATAAAGTAGACAATAATGACAATTACATTAAAAATTTGCCACAAGTACTTATTCTAATTAACCTCATATTCCATATCATAATCTATGATATTAACGTAAGAACTGACTAACAGCCTTATTTCAAGGTTTCTCAGATTATGTAGAAGAAATGTAAGAAGTATTAATTATGAGTTGAAAGGAGCATTTAAGTTCTGTACTAAATGTCAGATTATAGTGGCCAAGTCTTGATTGTTGAGTCTTCTTTAAACACAACCAGCGAAGGTGATCCCAACAAAGTTTGGATAATTAGAATTTATCTAATAGTGAAACAGAATTTGTCTTATTTTATTCTGAATCCATTATTTTTTGTTCTGAACCTGAGAATAATACAGAATGTATTTTAGGTGTCTGTGTCACTTCTTTTTACATATTTGAAGAATGTTACCCCATCCAATCCTATCAACCCCAGTTTTATTAAAGTTATACAATCCAAGTGACTTAAAATCATTCTTTATAAGACTTTAAATCATTTCAAGTTAATGGCTTTGCTTTCAGTATCAACTCAACTAATCCCCAAATATCAGAAAAAATAACCTAATCAAGATCTTATAATTAAGTTACATTACAACAAAAATATTTTATTATGATTTCACCAAATTGTCAATTTATGATTCCTTAACACATCAGTTTTCAAATACATTATTGCTATGGACAGAATTTAAATATATCCTTCTTTATAGTGTCCTTGGTGCTCTCTGAGGTCAATTGTTTGCTTGAAGACATTTCATTTCATTGTGGACATCATTAAGTACCCCACAGTTCAACCTTGAGCTACATATATTCTCTTCTACTGGATACTTATTTATGAAAGTTACATTTCTGATTGTAACACAGAATCTTGTGATTTGTGTTTATTAAATACAGAAAGTTATGAGAAAATATTTCCTGACTTATTTTAACTTCCCGACATAATGATTTCCTAGTAGTCTCCCATCCAAATATTAACCAGATCTCAACCTGTTTAGCTTTTTGAGTTCAGTCAGAGTAGGCTAATTGCTGCCTCCGTTTAAGACTCCTAATTTATATACAAAGATACAAAATACAAGTGAGATTTCTTTTGCTAATTGAGCAGGTCTTGAAAGGGTTAACCTTCTACCAAAAATGTGTGTATTACCCAAGAAGAATAAATAAATCTGCAATACAATTCTATTACAAGTGGATAACATTATTCATGCTGGCACTTGACCTTAATTATGGTATAATAAATCTTCATTTTTTAAAAGTTGCTTTCTTGCATTAATCTGAAATTTGTTAGATAATGCCATAGTTACATGCATATTTTCCAAATTCTTGTGATAGTTCAAAGGCACATTTTTAGAAATATATAAGAGCAACCTGACACAGGCATATTTGTTAGGGCTATGCAAAACATTCAAATGAAACATCTCTCCTAAAATTATTAAAGCAACAATCTTCTACAAATGTAGTATAGCTGAAGCCGAAGCTGTTTGTAGCTATCTGCAGGCACAGCTAGCTGCTTTGCTGAAGAGAAAGCACATTGTGAAGCACTTCATTCAAAAGCTTTGCACAGTCCTAATATTTGCCGGGCATGTAATGATCATTAGCAGTGGTCCCTTGAGATCAAACTGCCTTTTAGCATGGAACACACTCTTTTAAATAAAGTTCAGTGTAGTTAATTATAGCAACAATTGTGCATTCTCTAATCAAAGAATATTAATATAAATATTAATATAATCAAAATGAACTTGAATAAAGAACTTATATCTTCTCCAGTTTAGTAAATATTAAAATAAAACATTACCTGGGCTTGCTGATTCAACTGATGGCTGTCCAAAAGAGAAAAAGAAAATATTATTAGTAAAAACACCAATTATAATGTTAAACTTTGTATTTAAATCAAGCATATAATTGTCTAGAAAATGTCTGATTTGTTACAAAAAGAAAAATAAATACATCATGAAAATATTTGCAATCATTATTTTTAGCCATAGGTAAAATACAGGTAGTTGTTTTAGGACACCCCCCCCCCAAAGATACTTGTTCCCCTCCCCCACATGGTCAAATGGTTGCATTCTGGGCACCAGTAACTGACCCACATTTACAACCATTATGTGACCGCAATTTATGATGGTTTTGCTGAAAATCGATGTTACTTTCGGTTTTGGCAAAATGCCTCATAGTGAATACATTTGCTTAACAACCAAAAATTCACTTAATGACCATGGTGATTTGCTTAATAACTGCTGCAAAAGGTCATAAATTTGAATTGGGCATGTGATGACTTGCTTTACAACTTTCACAATTTATAATTTAATGGGCAGGCTCCGTTATGGTCATAAGTCAAGGACTACATATAATTAAAGGGGGAAAAAAATCTTACAGGAAAACTAGCAGCAAAGCTCTTAAAATATTATTAGCCTAAAGAAAACTAACAGATATTTCAGGTTTCTAATACTCGAGTACTCATCGGTAACTCAAACTTGTCTAACTGAAACATTACCACTTGCATGTTAATGGTATTTAATATTGTGTTTATGTCTGGTCTGCCATATTTTATTTCGGTATTACTCATGAAGATATCCTTTACCTTATCCATTTTTCATGATGAAAAATCTAACAAACCTATATCTGTCACAAACACAAAAATTCACCTATCAAATGACATTGTCCCGCCTACTGGACATCTGGAAACTAGCCCTAGTCAACAGAAGAGTCCCAGCCACAAAGATTAACACCAGACCCAAGATAACACATGACACCACCACCAATCATCCTCACCAGATTCAAACCCAAACCTATCCCATAGACGAAATACAACCACCATCCAGAAGCCAGACCACGGCGGCATCACCAGCTGCTGCACCTCCCCTCTGATCCCCACACAAAGCAAACTGACACACGCCATGAACACATGGCAAGACCTCAAACTCGGAGCCAAACCAAAGCCCAGGATGTGGCATCACAGCCATCTGCTCAGGACATTACATCAAAAAACTCAGGATATCACAATACTAGAACTCAGGATATTAACACATAGCCCATTACCCAGGTCGTTAAAACACAAAAGACTAATGGGCACACATCAAGGGCCTCACCCACACAGGATGTTACAAAACATCTGACTAAACTGCAAACATCAACTAATCAAGATGTAACAGCACTGGCAGCCAACCCACTCATGGCAACAGAGCCAGCACCCCACACCTCCCCACCAGTATTTATAGAGAGACGGCAGCTCCGATCACGCTTTCCTCGCACAGGCATGAAGCCAAGGACACCAGCCTGAAGATGACGAGTGACACCTCGTCGAAACGTCACCAAGATACTCTCAATCTTACATGGGAAAAGACCCGAATACACCAATACTTGCATACCTCTACCCGTGAAAATCTACGAAAATAAAGATAGATAGATAGATAGATAGATAGATAGATAGATAGATAGATAGATAGATAGAAATAATACACACACACATATACATATATTAGGTGGGTGGGTAGATAGATAGATAGATAGATAGAATATATGTGTATAATATTTCAAAGTTTCTGAATAATATTGTTTACGTCAAGAATGGGAAAACAGGGGCCCAGGCAGTTCAAAATAAAGGTTTATTGAAAGCTTAAGCTCTCTTCAAGAATCTGAGTTACTAACAGTCAAAGCAAATTGGTGGTAGATAACAGTCAATGGAATTCAAAGTGGGCTGGACTCTTGTGGGTGTGAAGGGACTAGAGCCTGATGACGCATTTGACTCCTGCTTTGGGCTCAGCCTGGTAATTTCCTATGGTTTAATTTAGAATATATGATATATCCATGGATGATTTTAATTTGTTTTCTGATAATTATCAATATTTATTTACTGTATTTTAAACCATATAATTTAAGTGATTCCCAGTGTACAAACTATTAACTATAAACATATAATAAAACCTAGAAATAAAATTGTAACAAATATATCAGTGTAATATAGCAATAAAATGACACAAAGATACACTTGATACCAACACCACTTAATAAGTGCAAAAAAATAGACTTCAGAGGCCCTCCAGAAAAGCTGTCTTCACAGATCTATGAAAGATTGGATTGTATGCTGACTAGAACATAGGTACAAGAATATTCCATAATTGGAGACTGCCAAAGAAAAGATTTTTCTGCCCCCCTGCCAAATTCCCTTTCTCTCTTATATGTGGACAACCCTAAGCAACCTGTCCTTGAGTAAGTATATATTAAGGAGTTTATAGTTTCCAAGATCAGTAATTAATATCAAATCCTTAACAGCAGAACACAATCAGAAAGCATGAATCACACTAAGTTTCTTTAATTAGACCTACTGTTAGAAAACAAGGAGACTCTTCTGGTGAGCACCATAGTGAAATGCTGCTGGATGTAAGTTGCCAAAATCTCTCTGGAGAAAGTAGAGATCTCAAGATTACCCACATTTACTCCCCACAGCTCATTTTTGGTGAGCAGATGGCAGGAACTGCGTTTTTGTGATCAACGTATGACTGACTAAGGAGTTCATAGAACTTATAGCGGCTAATGCAGTCTATATATAACTACTTTAGGTTCAACTGAGGTTCACTCTTAATAATTTTAAATTTATTTTATTGTTTGCTTAAGGATTGAGAACCTTTAGATAGGCAGGTCTTAGTAAAATCACTGAGTGAGTTTTGTTCAATCCTTCAAAAAATAAGTTTTAACTACAAGTTCAAAGATTTGTAAAAAAAAAAATTGGTGGGAGACTACAGCAAAAGGATGTTTAGTATTGACTTTAGAAAGTTTTTAGCAAACATACAAACAAAATACAAATGGACTTAAGACTTTGAAGTTAATTAAAAGGATCTTTCCCATGGGAAAATGTCTATATAATGTATTTTTCGGAGTATAAGACGCACCAGAGTATAAAACGCACCTTAGTTTTTGGGCAGGAAAATAAGAAAAAGGCTGATTGGCAGGTGGATTGGCCTCCCGGAATACCCCCAATCAGCTGTTCCCAGAGATGAAGTTTAGCAACAGGTTCCTTGGTTGTGAGCTCTGTGCCTTGCTTTTTTTCCTGCCTCTGAAACTTCTGAAACTCCATTTCAGAAAAAACTTTTTTTCCTGCCTCTGAAAGCCTCTGAAACAGAGCTTCAGAAAAAAAGCCTCTGAAGCTCTGTTTGGGGGGTTCTTTTCTAGGGCTTCTTTTCTGAAGCTTCTTTTCTGATGCTTTTTTCAGCCTCTGAAACCTCCATTTGAGAAGCTGGGCAGAGCTACATTTGGAATATAAGACGCACCCAGATTTTCACTCTCTTTTTTGGGGGGAAAAAGTGCATCTTATATTCTGAAAAAATATGGTATTTGGATAAAACTGATAACTTTGAAGGTTGAACACTAGTGGACACTTTAAGAGAGATCTACAATGAATGGTTTTCAGGAAGTTATTTACTATTACTGAAGAATTAGAAGATGGTATTGAAGAGGAACAAGGCCACTTAATAAAATTGTAATTGATTTGAAGGTGGATTAAAAATGATAGCCTATAAGAAAGAGATGGAAATAGTAAATTTACAAATGAAACTAAATTATGATTTAATAAGTGAAAAAGACATACACATATTAAATCAGAAGAATGCTGTGGATTATTCCTCTACATTGGATTTACAAAAGGGACTTGTTGAAGTTGCCAAGGATTTTCTAAAAAGAGACAGTAAGAATATGAACAGTGGTGAATAACATCTTTCTACTAGAATTACAAAGGGACTTGAAAGGATATGAGGGATTCTGAGAGAAGAGACAAAGTATCAAAAGGGGATGTTAGAACTCTGAGAGATCTAAAGATTGTTGGGAGAAAGAAGAATATAAAATCGGTTTATTTGATTGACATTAAAATAAATGGGTTACTATTTTTGGTAATGTTTAAATGGTTTATTGACAGACTGGATGATGATGTTTTAAAAGTTTTGTTTGTTTGAAGAGAGGAAATGGGGGAATATGTTTAAATAGAGATGGAAATTTAAATATAAAAGGAACAATTCAAACTGAGTTTAAGCAGATATAGTCTGCAATAGGGCTGTTATTTTTGATAACTCTTAATGGACTTTTGCTGATTAATATGGAGAGATGAGTTTTTAGAACTGTTTATAGAGAATGGGGTGAGGTATGGGATGAAGAGTTGCTTGGTGCTATTTTAAGAGACAGTGAAGATGTTGATCATATTTGCAGGGGATGAAGAGGGAGGTTCCTTTTTCTCTTTTCCCTTTTTCTTATCTGCATTAGATACACACACACACTATAAATTGTATTCATTTTATCTGTATAACATAATTTTCAATAACATTACTATATAAAAAATAAGGGGCCACGAATCAGAAACCTAGAAGCAAACAAAGCAAAATAAGATACAGGCAAATCTTCAGGCCTCTTCTTTTCCAATAGAGAGCAACTGACCTTAAACAATGCCATGGGACAATATCCCACAAATGCAATAGGAGAGAAGTCTTGAAGCTTTGCCTCCTTAATTACCATGTAGGCTTGAACATGAGCTCTTATTTGGCCAAGTCCACTTTTGTCTTATTCTATGGCACTCTATTAGCTTCTGCTATTTTAACTCCTGTACCACCTGAGAAAGTTTAGCAGCACATGGGATTAGCAGACAGGAAGCTGCTGCACAGGGACAATTCAACCCTCTGGTCACCTCCAAATTCCAACCAACATCAATAAAACTGTTTCTCGAGTTGCTAGGAAAATCCCTAAGTGCTTAGTGGAATTCCTCCAGATACATAAAGTGCCTGAGGCAGATAGTCAGTCATGCCATCCTACAGAAATTATGCAGAGTGATTAAACTCAT